TGTCCATCATTCAAAGAAATGAGTACATTACCTTTTCCCTGAATGAGTTGGCGACTATCATCGCCCAGATATACAAACTTCTTCGATGGAAGTTCAATATATGTCACAAAAGCATTTCTGTCGTATGCTATGTGTTGAGTAGCACCAGAATCTACATATCAGGGTGGATCCATCCCAATGGATGTTAGAGCAGTGACATACAGCCGTTGGTGGTCGTTTGGTGTAGAATGTGAAGAAGCATTGTCGTGTTTCTTCTTCCTGCACTCGCTGGCAAGATGAACTTTCTTCTTGCAATAGAAACATTTCATCTTTTGCCTGGGAAAAGATGTCTTGGCAGGAAGTTCTGGTCGCGATGAAGGAACTGACTCAGTGAAGTGTCTTGGATGCATCATCTTTGGCGCCCCCCCTCGTTTCTTTGCTGTGTAGAGTGTTGCCATACCTTCTGTCAACACTTCCTCTTCCTCTTCTTGAAGGTGTGATTCCTCAAGAAGAACACCAGCAATAACAGATTGGGTGGTCAAATTTTGCTGTGTCCTCATGGAGCGCACAAAGGATCTATACTCAATGGGTAGACTTCGAAGGAGACAGGTGTAAGCTTAGGCCTCTGGAATGATCTGCCCTATAGATGACAACTGGTGAAGAAGTAGACGAAACTTTGAGATATGTTTCGCTACAGACTCGCCTGCATCAAGTGCATCTGCATTGGTACATCATGGGATTCAAAAAATGCATTGAGTTCTGCCCAGGCCTCTGCAGCTGTAGAATGACGTGCGATCAATGGATGTTGATGGTCTTCCAACAAGTTATTTAACACCGCCAAGGCCATGAGATTTTTGACATCTCATTCTTGCTTACTGCCAGCGCTTGACTCTGGAGTTCTTGTTGTAGACCCCGGTGGAGTGCTTGGCCTGACTTCGACCCCTTCCATGATGTCCATCAGTACTTCCAGTTGAAGGATTAAACTAATTTTCCCCTTCCATGCATGGAAATATTCCCCACTGAATTTGGGGAGGGGGAGGTCTTTCCATGCAAACCGGGTTGAAACCCTAGGAGAAGTCATCTCCCTAAAATCGAACTATAATCTGTGCTGATCTTCACGTTCTGCCGAAGTGAATCTTCAAAGAACAAATCTTCGAACTCTGAACTCTAAACCCTAACGCTTTGATACCATAACAGAAGTGAGGCAATACAAGAAAGAGTCGAGAGACACAGATACTGAGTACTGGAGAGCAGATCTTAGTTAATGGGGAGAGAACCCGGATGGGGAATATATACCCAACCGTGACAGTCCGAGAGATACAGAAACCCTAGTGGACAGCGGCTGGTCGTGACAATCTGTCACGACCACGACTATAGTACAAAGTACATACAGCAAAGAATGTGAGTGTACGGAGATCCAAGAAGTGGGTAGTAATTCGACTTCTAACACGTTGCAATCTGGACAGACTCATATACCTGAGTTTGAGATGCCATTGGTAAGTAGTTAGCTCGTCATTGTTTATAATTGAAGTAATAGAAGTTGCTCGGGAATTCGTAGAAGTCGTGCCCAACCGAATGAGTTTGTTTTTGATGATGCAGCGATCAATCGTGTTGCCCATCTTGTCGTGTATGATATAGTGATCAGACTTGGTAGATGAATTCTTCCGATGAGAGTTCTGTGGAATCCACAAATGTATTTCGATTATATGTCATATGTTGTGTGGCACCCGAATCCTCATACCATGTGAGATCCACGCCGATTGATGAGAGTACGATGACGAACAACCGATGATAAGTGTTTGCAGTAGAGTGTGTAGAAGAGCTCTCTTGCTTTTTCTTTCAACACTCATTTGCAAGATGCCAGCACTTCTTGCAATAGAAGCATTTCATCTTCTGGCGGGAAAAAAATGTCTTTGATGTGGATTCTTTTCGTGCTGAAGAGGAAGAGCCTACGTCATCAGATTTTTTGGGCTGTTGTTTAGAGGGATTCCACTCTCTCGTCTTCTTGGTGTATAATGTTGTTGTTTCGTTAGTCGTCGCTTACTTCTTGAGGTGTACTTCTTCAAGAAGGAGATTGGTTATGACGGCCTGTGTGGATAGCGACTCGCTTATTCGCATGGAACGAACAAGGGTTTGGTATTTATGAAAAAGATTTCGTAGGAGGCAGAGCAAGGCTTCTCATGTGATATTATCTGTCGTATGGCAACCAAACAGTCAAGAATGAGTTTAAACTACGTGATGATTAATGATACAGGCTCGCCTGACTGTATTTTTAGGGAATGCAACAATTCTCTCAAATGCAATTGATTTGGATTTGATTTTGATTCATATACTCTTGCGACTTCGTTCGAGTCCTTAACAACTATCCGATAGTGGTGGTCTTTTCTGTTTTGTGAGATTGTTCAACATTGTCAAGGAAAGGAGATTCCTTTTGTCCCATGTCTTCTTACTCCCTGCACAGGACGTTCCGATCTTAGAACCGGGGGAATAGAAGAAACTTTAAAATTTCGCTTGAAATTTTAAATAATTTTTGAAATTCGGGCTCCACAGTGCTTCAGATCAGCACTGATAGGTATTAAATAGGTTCGGTCGATCGAATTTATTCAAATTTGGAGTCAGAATTTCAGAGCCGGGTGGGGATATGGGATCTCTTGTAATTGTTCTTTCATGTGTCAAAGAGATGGTTCACAGCGAGAAGCGTACTCCTAACTTTTTGGATTCAAGCGTACTTGAATCACAATGGAACTTGCCTCGATACCATGTTAGATCAAATGAGCAACACACAGTTGAGGAAGGATTGAAGCTTTATGGAGCTAATTGAACGGACCGTGTTCCTGCCTACTACTTCCCCGGTTCTACGACCGTAACACTTTCGTCCGATGCAGGGAGTAAGAAAACATGGCAATAAAGGAATCTACTATCCTTAACAATATTGAACAATGTCATGGAACAGGAAAAACAACCACTAACTGGAACGAACTCGCAAGAGTATATGAATCGTAATTGAATCTAAATCAATTGTATTCGAGAGAAGCGTCTGCATTTTTAGAAAATGTAGCCAGTCAAGACTGTGTCAACAATCATCACGCAGTTTCAACTCATTCTTGACAAGTTGGTAACCATAGTACATACAATATTAGAGGAAGAATACTTGCTCTGCCTTTTGAAGTTTTCACGGTGAATACCAAACCTTTGTTCGCTCCATGCAATTAAGAGAGTCGTTATCCACACAGACCTTCATAACCAATCTCATGCTTGAAGAAGTACACCTCAAGAAAAAAACGGTAATTAACGGAACAACAACATTATACACCACGAAGAGAGTGTGGAATCTCTCTAAGGAACAGCCCAGAAATAATATCCTTTTTGAACTGAACCAGAGTCTTTCTTCAACAGCCTCTTGGTCATGATGTGCAGTAATTTGAACATCTCATCTTCAAAACACTAAATGTTTTTAGGTTTTTGACACAACTTCAAGTGACCATAGAGACTCAAAACCTCTTTAACCTCAAGTGCCCTTTCTCTTTAATTTAGGCTTCAGGTTTTATTTAGAGTGTTATGGGTTATCATCCTATTAATCTCAATCAGCGTATAACCTTTTCATATTCTCAACCCTTTTGCAGCAATTGACTAGTATGTAATCTTAATGTATCACTAGTACCTGATGAAGTGACTGGTCTAGCCATAGCTTGCTACTACTCCCTTTGCTCTGAGGTAGAGAATATCAAGATAAAAAAAACTGTAGATAGCAGTCCCACTCTGTAGATAGCAGACCAACACCAAGTTTATAGATTACTAACTCCACTCTACCCTCTCACCTTTCCAACATTCTGATCGAATGACTCTCGGCTAGGTGTGTTTTGTGTTCTTTACAAACAGGCAAGCAATATATATACGGAGTTAATGGTTCAAACTTGAGCCTGATGCCCTAACTTGAAAACATAATCTTAAGGTGACCGACATGTGGCCGATTGCTGAACCCTACTTAAATCCTAACCCTACATGCAAGACAAAAATGACTTCAGAATAAAAAATTTCATCATTTTGTAGATAGACTAGCAAACATTTTTCCAAGGAAAAGCAGTTAACTTTGACTCGCGAATCCTATTGAAACAAAGAATGAAGGTTTCTTATGTAATTAAGATCTTGATTCAACATCAAGCTTCAAGGCAGATGTTCTCGCCCAGCGGCAAGAAATTTGATCTTGCTTACATAACTTAGCTTTGACCAAATACTGTATACTTATGGAATATCTTTCAACCATCTGAAGTTCGGTGAAGTTGAGAGTAGCTTGAAGAGGTTATATGGTGATTGTGTTTAAACAACTCGTCAACTACATCGATGTTATCTCGAGGAGATCTATATTATTTCCAGTACCCATGCAAACTTAGTACTCCTCCATGTCCCAGACCATCTTCTGTAGTTGAGTGTGTTTGGCTTCTCAAATCTGTGAATGCCACAACTTCTGAAATTTACTGTATAGATGTGATCCACTTCTAATTGAAGTCTCTCTTATTACATTATGTGGACTCCCTTGCACTTGCCTAAAGTCAATCTAGTGATCATGAGGCCTCACTCTCCACGTTGAACCAAGATCCAACTCAAATTCAACTACATTGATATCTCCACGTCTCAGTAATCCAATAGCTCACAAATGTTATGGATGATCATTGCAAAATGTGTGGAACTTATTGCTTTAGAGACATTAAATGTACATAGCATAAACACACAGCGTGGATGTTGATTGGCGAGCGACAAAGATAACCTTCAAAAAAGTTTTTGTTAACTTTTATTTATAATAGTCTATATATTCTATATTACATGTAAGTGTTGCAATAGTTTGTTTCTAAAGTAATTCGGAATATATTATATCTTTGTTACATGCATGCATTTCGACATCAAACATTTCAAGTGAAAAGTATATTGAAACTATTGAAATCACGTTGTAATCAAAGACAAGCATTATTTAGTTGTAAAGCGAATTTTACTGTTGACGCAACAGATGGTGTTTGGTTGCTCAGCACTACCGGTAGTCGCGATCCTGTCACTGCAGCCCTACATGTACTTCTTGGAGACAGCATGCCGCTAGACATCGTCAAAATTACAGGATGGAAGAAAACTCCCCAGTCTGTGGATGAGCCTCCTCGAGTTCGATATGCAGCTTCATTTGCTGGGTATGCATTCAATGTGGCCCGATCTGTCTGTCCTCTTCTATGTTATTTGCAGATTTTTTGAAGTGAAGGCTGTGCATAATAAGTTCCACACTGGTTTCTTCTCAAACTTTTGGTAATTTGTGAGATCCGTGTGTTTCTAGCCGTTATCCAGTGCATGTTGTCAACACGAAAAAGATTGACAAACATTCTAGAATGTGTTCAGCATTTAGATCTTATCAAGATAAACTCCTTTTCCTTGCTTGCTTTCACGATGATTCAAGCGACTGCTGAAGGAAGTAAAAGATCCGATAATGCGGTTTGAGCTAAAATGCCCTCTGTTTTGAAACCTTTTTTTCTTGGTTTTATTTAGAAATATTTTGTCTGGACAGACAATTAAGCGTTGTCACCTAATTCTTGATCCTGCAGTTATGGATTTTATGGAGATGTAATGAGAGAAAGTGAAAATGCTCGGTGGCTGGGTCCTGCACGATATGATATTGCTGGAGTGAAGGTGTTTCTGAAACACAAGTGAGTTCCAGTAGATTATTGAGAACTGTGAGGAGAGTTTTTTATTACTTCTGCCGTTCTGTATTTAGTTAACATATATAATGAGTGTCGGCATGCACTTATATTTGTTGGTCTCTTTTTTCGCAGAACATACCAGGCAGAAGTTTCATATTTGGACATCCCACAAATTCCTGCAGGCTTGAAGAATTTAACACCTCGTAATGGGTCATCTGAAAACTCAAAGCTTACTGATCGAGCGCACAGAGTTATTTGTCGTGTAAACTGTGGAATTTGTGCCCAAGGAATGGACTTGAACCATCTTGTTGATAGCGATAGTGAAGAAGAGGAACTTGAAGAAGCTTCCGCAGAGTTGCAGGCAACAAAACCTAGATGGAGAAGTTTACGTGGCTCTTTCCACAGCGTTGGGGGTGCAGTGATGTCTTGCCGGAACGATAAAGCGCCAGATGGATTAGCGGCACATGCCCACCTTGCTGATGGATTGCTTCATCTGATTCTGATTCGTAAATGTTCAAGGCCATCATACTTAAGGTGAAGCACAGACATTCCGTCTTAAGTTTATTGCTTAGAGGTTTCTTCTGAGTAACAGGTTTTTGTCTTTATACGTTTTATCAGTGATTTGGACTCATGTCTATTCTTCCATCTATCCGGTATCTCCAAATTGACAAGATTACAGATCTCGGTCATCTCGGTTGCCTCAGCACGTATTTGATTACTTTCGGCTATCATAGCCTTTTCATGTTCTGTCGACACATCACCATAGTAATTTGTCCAACCTTATCAGCAATACGAACTCTTTTTTGATATCTTCAATTTCAAATTTCTTTCAGGCAGCTCATTTCTTTAACTAGAAGAGGAGCAGACCCATTCAATTTTGACTTCGTTGAACATTACAAAGTAAGTGAACTTCTCGCTATATCATTTTGATTCTTTACATGGCAAGCAGATTGATCATTGAACAAAATGAATCGTGACAATGTTGAGATCTGAAAATACTTTTTTTGTAAAACATGTTTTCATGGTTGTTTCTTGTTTGCCTCAGACTCCCGTATTCACTTTCACATCTGTTGGTGAAGAAAGCATATGGAATATTGATGGAGAGCTTTTTCCAGCACATCAGCTAACAGCCCAAGTCGCTAGAGGTTTGGTCAATATTTATGCTCGCGGGCCAGAAGATTGAGAACTCATTCTTTTATAAAAACATCACTTTTAGATTAGAGGTATCCTTAGTTTCTTTAGTCATAAATCAAAGTACTCATTCTCCTGAAGTCAATGCTTCAGGGGACTGGTGTGAGGCTTGTGTAAGTAAGCATCAATAAAGTAAAACTTGTGTATGAAGATGAAGTTTATACCATACCGGTTGTATTGCGTGGTCGTTCTGGCAGTAGGATGAGTTTGAGTACTAATGGATGATAAGTTCACGGAAAGAATGTTTTATTTTTTTGACTTACCTACGAGGTTGTCTTGTCCTGTGATCTATGGAGGCTAATCCTAAGATGCCAGCTGAAGTATTTGTCGACCTGTTGGAGCCTTCTATCATATCAGTAGCAAACTATTGACGAATAACGTAAACATGATGTGTAGCGGATACTGTTTACATTCCTGCTTTTGTTTTCATGTCATGATGATTGCAAGGTGATTGCGAGTCTTCAGTAGAGTAAAATGTTCAACTTAGTACTATCTGTATCCCAAAATACAATGGCGATGTAGAGGGTGGATGTTATATCACCGTTTAAATGAATGAACTCGAATAAACACGAAGTAGACAGATTAAAGATGACTAATTCTATGTTCATAGATTGAAAATAGTGACCGTTTCGAACTACGAGTGAGCAAGTTGGACGTTGAATACTTCAAATCCCTCGATTCTAGCATTCGATCCCACAACCTTATATCAAGGAAAAAACATGACATCCCCCTCACACTTTCACCAGACATTCTACAATATTTTATCTGGTCTTCTTCAGTTTCGAAACATCTCATTCTTTCAACTTTTTAAACAAATATGGTATTAACATTTTCAACCCTTGCAGTCTTGTTCATTTTCCTTGTATTAAGATACTATTTCATTACCTCGATATAATCTCATGTAATGAGTCTGCATAGTGTAACATCATGGACACGATCTTTGACTAGTCTCAAAATTTTCTCTCGAATATACAAACAGAAACGTTGATGAGGACATGGTGAGATCACTGGTTTACAAAAGGTTGATGAAAAACTGTCGTAAGAAACAAAGTGGTGGAATCCGATACAGAGCAAAGGCTCCTCAACTCGTGGACACAAGCAGGTAATGTGAATGATAAGAAAGTATTCTCTGTGGATCCAATCTGTTGAACCCTCTGCAGATAAATGTTTATACTCCGCAAAATATGCTGTACATATTGAATCTAAATTTGGTGTCCGTTAAAGTGTGCCTGTATGTAAGATCAGAATACAAGGATCGAAGAGCTTATCGCAGGCGACATGGAGTGATATTGATATATTTCTTTAGATGGAAAGAGGATAGAATTATAAATCACATAGAACTGTTTTCCTCTAGCGCGTTTCTCCATTAAAGTGGACGGTTACTCTACATCGATGCAAGCAAATATATGTAGATTATTAGATGGTTCCTTGGTCAGTTTGATAAAATATTAATGGCACAAATTTGTAGACATTGAGACGCTATATCGTATAAGTCAATTGCAGATAACACAAGGACTACGTACTTTGCTGCCGGGTTATTGTTAGAAAGACCTTGCCACATGCAGGGATTTTCTTATTGTATCTACAGCAATTGATTGACACGTTAAAATCAATACCGTCGTCTGAACAACATGGTTAGACTGGATGATGCGCACCATATCAATCCGGATACATTTTGGCATCCAAAGAATTCGTATACATCTCTAATGAACATACATGTGTCGAGAATCGTTTGACCAGCTTTATGCTTTGAAGGTAGGTACATTTCAGTTCGAAATTTCCTTTTATGCAGCTACAAGTGCAAGAAGTTTACTATTTGACCACTGTCTCCATCAAGTGTTTCTCTCAAGCAGTTTTAAAACACTGTCAGTTTCAGTCTAAATTTAACATCTGGTGCAAGAGCATCCTCTCGATCCTGTTGACAGTCTTTTGGACATAAACCCAAAAGCTTTGTACAACGACTGCCATGTGCGAAGTCTAGCACTGCAGGGACCGTGAACTCTCTCTGAAAGACACGAAGATCTATTGAGTAGTTGCAGTGTCCAACATTCTGCAACTCCTGACCCCGTGCAATTTGTAACGAGTAAATCTATTGATCTCTGTAGTAGGTCCCTTGGTGTCGGATTAGAGTATTACAAATGGGACCAGGTCCCGAACAAAGGTGCTACCAACCCATGCAGTGTTTCAAGTCCTGATCTTTATAAAGCTCGGATTTGGGGAGAGGCGTCTAACACAGCAGAAAAGCACACCCTGACGAATGATTAGTGCAGGAGCTGTGCAGGACATCTGCCTGGATCTCCGGAGTTTTCCTGTGAGAATCTGCGCATTTCGGAACAGGGATCGAAGAGGAAAGAGTGATTCTCAACGTTTACGACAATGACAAAGCACAGACTCGCAGAGGCTTACTCTAATCAAACAAAAAGGTGATTAGTTGCAGCACTACAATGAACAGTTGAAGTGCAGGTGAAGTTGAACATGTCGACCATATGCTCTTGGGGAAACAAATCATTGCTCTTTTGTCCCGAAACTTCGTTCCATTGTTATTCTTATCATCTATGACAACACGTGAGCCCCATACACGGAAAGTCGTCCTTTTCGATTCACATGTCTTTCGGGAAAATGATTCCTAAAGTTCAATACAAAACTACGTAAGAAGTATAAAAACAACTATATTTTCAAAGTAGAAACAAAGAATTGTGTAGCAGATCAAGATAGAGTTTTAGACATCATTTATTAGTGAGACATATATAATTTTATTCATTAAAATAATTTCAATTGATGGGGATAAAAATGGAAATAAATTTTTTTTTTGGAATTTTGGTTTCTACTCTCATTCGTGAAAGTACCTAAATAAACTGAGACATGACATATATGTAAAAGTTCAAGTTTAAGTAATTGTCTATATGGAATTTTTGTACGACTCAATTTTCTTGTGCAAACCTTTGTATGATAGACAGTTTTCAACTAAAATCCAGTGATATCTACCTATTTCTTTGAGTTCAGCATTATATACGAACATTTCTAAAAATATGAATAAAAAATAAATTGATCCATTTATTTTGAGACTAGAAAAAATAATAAGAATATGAGAAAACATAAATTTCCTATAATTAAAAAAAAATGTGAGTAGAAAATGAAAATTTGAACTTTTTTGTTATATGTTAATTAGCTATATGTTAATTTTCAGTTTTACAACTAGTTCAAATGCACCACTTCTTTATCTCATAGGTAATGTACATTAATTACATATTGAAATCAGAAAATTTTTAAAAATCAATACTTATAATTTAAGAGTTTATAAATTGTGATTCATGTTTTTTAACTAATGTAGCAAATACTCCACACAACTAAAATCCAATGAATGCTAAAATATCAATTAAAAATTACTTTTTGAAACGTTAATCGTGTAAGGTTAATCCGCATCTCATTAACCGTAGTTAGTCTAATTGTAGTTAGGCTTGGCCTCTAGTTAGCGTTCGGGTTAGTTAGAGTTCGTTTGTTCGGGTTAGTGCTTCCTAAATTCTGGGATTTTTCAACAGAATTCCATAATTAATCAAATCTAAATCTTGTGGCATCCATAAATTAATTGCGTCATGGTCATAAATGAAAGTGCTTTTTGGGAATACTTGTTGAATCCGAGACAAATTCACTTTTGTTGTAATCAGTATTTTGTCATGTAATTTTTATTTTTGTACAAAAATCAATCTCATAAATCTCCAAGACCGACATGTGACAAAGGCAATTATGTAAAAGAGATCTAGACCAAATTCAGAACGGATATAGTAATAGCATGCGGATGAATTTTATTTTTCAATAACTTCCAAAATTATCAAAATTAAGACTAATAGAATCCATAATTTGAGTTTATGACTTAAGAAATTTGAGTTTAGAAATTTCCAAGCCTTATGAGAACTAGATTAGGACTCAGTTTGGGCTTGTAGTTCAGTTATTTGTTTGTACGGATGAGCACTTTTCATTTGAGTTTCACATTTACATCTGACAAAGAGAGCTTAGCCATGAAGATTTGATGTAATATTTTCACTTTAGTAATGGAAATTCTATTTTGGCCGTGGATGTAAACTCATGTGGAGATAAATCACGTACATAGGAGTGTGATTCTCGTTGCGTCGGATCTACAATTATTATCAGAGCATAAAGTTTGCTCGCCTATCGAGTTTGCGTCTATGCGTGTAGCTCGTTGTCGTCTCCGTGACATGCAATGATTTCCTTTATGTGTTGCACATACATTGTATCAAATTTTGTGCTTGCAAAATGTAGCTCGTCGACCATGATATGAAGATTGGTTTGTGTGAAAAGCAGCGGAGCTAATTTAGGGCACGAGTGTGTTTGTCGTTTTTTATTGCTGGTGGATTTGTTTCAACTTAGATTGACAAAAGTGCTACCCCTGCACACTTATATCGCTATTCACTTAGGAGCAACCTGGATGCTTGCTAGCTCGCTTGTTTGTTCATAGAGTTGTTGTGTGTTTGCTACTGCTCTCTCCATAGCAAACTCGGCTCGGAATTACTGCAGTTGCTCATGTCTGATATGCGTACAGCGATTGTGAAATCATCGCTATTGTTGTTATTGCTTGTGATCAATTAAGATCCAACGATTTGCGTAACCATTGTTGATGTTCATGCTTGACGTGTATCACAAGTATGTGCTTACGGGAAAATAAAGCGGAGGTGGTAAAGAATTCAAAGAGAGAGCTAAGTAAGAAGCAAAAGCAAAAAATTGGACAAGTATCGTTAGATGAGGATTCTTAAACTCTTAATCGCTGGGCTAGGATCGTTGGACAAAGGACAGAGTACCATTGGACGGTCAAACATTGATCGTTTAACTTCATTGTGTACCATTGACGGTTAATTTTTAAAGATTTTTAAATGTTTTCAAGAAAATGGATGAGACGCCAAGAAAATTAGATTTGTTTGCGGCACTGCATGAACATTATCATAAGAACAAGCTTTCAAACCGGTTGTATACGTCATTGAAGCTCATCAACTTTAGTATGGCGGAAGGTACTAAGATCTAAGATCATGTAGATTATTTCAATGATCAAGTTTTGGATCTTGAGAATCTTAAGAAAGATTTGAATGATGAGTCGAAAGCGATTCAATTATTGAATTTTTTGCTGGCTCCTCAGTTCTTGTCACGAGTGTTGCTTCGCCGTGACAAGAAAATCATCACTTACAATAAGATTATTATTGCTTTATAATACAAAAACCTACAACAAAAGCTGTTGATGTTTGTACATTACTCTTCCAATCAATCCACTTCATCGTCTAGTGTCTTCACAATCTTTAACGTCTACTAGGTAGGAAGTTAAAGAAAAGACCAAATCTAGGTCTAGGTCCAAGTCTAAGTCTAGAGATTGCAAGAACATCAAATGCTAGAAATGTGGCAAATTTGATCACATTCGCAAATTTTGTAAGTCAATCGATGAATCCTCAGTAAACTTGGATGTCATTTACGATTTTGATTATGACGTTTGTACTTTTTTTTGTTGGTAATGATAAATGTATCTTAGATTCAGCTTGTTCATATAACATTTGTCATGGTAAAGAGTTCTTTAATTCTTACACTCTATCAAGCAGTACAATTTTTATGGAAAATTATTAACCTTGCAAAATTATTGACATTGAATATGTGAAGATACAAATGTTTGATGAGATGATCTTGTGAACTCCGCACTAACTCTCATTTAGATTTACCTCAAAAAGCTTTTTGGTAGCTCATCATGATTCTAGAAGATAAGTATTCTTTGATGTGTCCGCATTCCATACAGACATTTTCACACAAAATTTTCACTCATCATTGCAATCAATCACACATTGATACTCCAAAGTATAGTGAAATTCAAACTTATGTTGATAAAACAAGAAAACGGATGGTTATCCCTCACTTTGGGCTAATTAGCACTCACCATACTATACGTTTTCCCTGATTGATTTTGCCGGGTTATAGCTTTTGTGGGATGAGTAACAACTTGGCGAATTTTACTTATGTCCCCTCTGTGTCAAAGATGCCTTTGTGTCAGACACCACGTCTGTCATTTCTGCGCAATGCCTAACGTGCTTCAATGTCTAATCTCCGCTGTGAATGTTGTATTCTAAAGCTAAGTGTACAGTGAAATTATCATGTGAAACGTATGTATCAACTAATAAATAAAGAAGATTCTTGGATGCTAAGTCTGATATGTGGATGTGACAAAAACTCTTACGCCCCTTCAAAGTTTTGTTCTATTTGTACACAACGTAATCTAAACATCGACGTACAACAATGCATGGATATGCACCGAGGGTATCTTGTTACTCGATAAAACATTACATCTTCCTCGAAGTGGTAAAATCTAAAGTTGAATCCAACCGACCAAAGTGACTACACAGCGTCAAAGTAAATACAACAAGTACTAGACACAATGAGACTTTGTGCAAAAGGATGACATGCACAAAGGATGAAATCCACGAGCATTCGTGGAGCTCGGATCGAACTTGTGCAAGATGACTTGATTGCAATGTTATGGCAAACTATGTGTTGTGAGGTGGTCATGAACATGATTAACACAAACAATTGCTCGGAGATGGCACGCGTGGCTTTGACGTGGCGTCTGCCACGTAGGCATCTTTGACGCAGAGGTGAAAAAATTAAAATCCATGAAGTTGCTATTCATCCCACAAAAACTATAACATGGCAAGATCAATCAGGGAAGAGCGTATAAAAGGATGAGTACTAATTAGTCCTAAGTGATGAATAACTAGCCGCTTCCTGAAACAAGTACTATCAAAAAAAATTTGAGAGTCTTTTCTCTATCACTCTATATGTAATACTTGAAAATTTACCATAGTAACACATGATGATTATCTTTTAACTTACATTTACTAGATTAAATCATGATAGGTTTGACTAGTTTTCAATGGAAAGTGCTCGTTCGGCCTTTTGTGATTGCTCCGATGGACCTAGCTTGTCAAGCGATCGAAGCTCTGGGATTTGCCGTTTAGGAAGGGGAAGAAGTGGCCCTGCTCTTCTTGCAATTCGGTCCCTTGCGGCCGCTCCGATGGCCCTGCCGCTCAACCCTACCCTGTAAGACCCGGATATTGTATTTGTGAAATAGAACTAGAAGTAGCCAAGGAATTAATCATGGTTAGCTTAGTTATGACTGAGTCTAGCTAGTTATAACTAGGTTTATCAAGTAATAACTATGTTTAGCTATAATGTCTATACTTGGCAAAATAACTAGAAAAGTTATAGACGATTTGAGTGTGCGATTCTATTTTGTCTTGTACAAAAGTTTAAATTCCAAGAGTAAATACTTTTGATTTCATGTTTAGTTTTGATTGATTTGATTAAATAATGGGTATTTCATTGGTTACACTAAGTCTAATGTTGATTTAGTGGCAAGTGGAGAATCTAGAAATGGAAAAGACACAAATGGCATGTCATCACCTCGATCTAGAGATTAGTAAACTTCTAGAAGGTTTAGCAGACCAATGAGATGTTGCCACGTGTTGATAACTAGTCAAAATTACTATGTTATATCTTGGTAATAGTAAGTTAGATATATATTATTACTATTTACTATGATAACTTCTCAAGTAGTATATATAGAGAGGTAGTAAACAGTTTCTCAAACAAGTTTGGAGAGTTCATGTGTAGAAAATTGTTTCATATATGAAAGATTGACAATTTTCAATATCTTGAAATGTCGATGTGTGTGTGAATTGGAGTGATAAATTGAGAGAATGTGTGAAAGTGTGTTTGAGACATGTGCATGAGTAATAATACTACTCTTCTAGAGTCATGATGAGCTACCGCAAAGCCATCCGAGATAAACGTGTGAGTAAGTTTGGAGGTTGCAGTCCTTCTTCGCGCCAGTCTCATGCTCGTATCCCTCGCGCATGTCTCCTAGATATTCCTCTTGTCATTGATGTCTTCTTCTGTCGCAACAACTGCTGTTCCTGTTGTCTTTGTTCATCATTTGCATCACAAATCACCATCACGTGCGATGATCTTTACTTCAATTTCACTCATCTTGGAGCAAAATCACTTGTGCGTTGTCGTCTGCTCTTGGACTGCCTATTCGTCTGTCTTTCCTGCTGTGGTCGGCCTTCTTACATTTTGTAGGAGAAACGGTATCTTGTAGAATCAGACGGCTTTGAATCTAGTTGCGAACAATTCATGGCGCATCTAATCAAATTCTTGACTCAAGAAGTTCAATTTGAAAACTGACGTCGAATTAGATCACAACCAGATGCATCAAGTGTAAACGGTGTAAATTTGTCGAGCAAAGTCCACTGCCGGACAAATTTGCGTATTGGATTGAGATCACAGCTTTCACTACGCAGGGTAGGAAGAAATCAGAAAACTGGAAGCTTTTGCTCTTATCACAATTTGCATCAAGAAATTGCGATGTGTGTGTCAAGTTGTCAATGCACCGGGACACAACTTCACGAAGCCCGTGTTCTCCTCCTTGATCAAGGATTTGTCTCGATCGATTGGATCCACAACAAACATTCGCTACTACCGACGCATCACAGCCGATCCAACAAACACCGATGAGTTGTCTTCGCCTCCCGGCCAAGCACAGTTGTTGGCCATGGATGACAATAAGGAAATCATCTCTTGCTCAATTGCCGTCCGATCGAACTCAAGCAATGCAGCTAGTGAATTTTTCCGAACTGTTATGCTCTCTCCTTCTCCTTTTACTCCTCTGAATCTTCTCTCACAATCTCAGTTGAAGAACTGTCAACTATCATAATTTATGTCGGTTCGTCTCATAAACAGTCAATAAATTTCACCTTCGACTCAACAAGATCTGTCACAAACTCCAAATTGAAATCAATTATGATATCAATTGTTAACGTGAAACCCTAATACCAATTGTTAACATACAATCAAAGAACCACAATGTCAAAACACTCAATCAAAAAACCAAGACAAGACACAAAAATGACGTGGTTCATCCTCAAGAGGCCTACATTCACCAAAAACACGCAATGTTACACACCAAAAACTGTGGTTAATTACAAGATTACTCATTAATTGAAGTTAACTTCAACAACCTTGTGTTTTTGTGAAAGCAATTTTAATGATTTCAAGTAATCTTTATTGATATAACCACCTCTGTTTTATCTCATTGATGCTTGATCATATAAAATCATGTCAACTTTATTGAAAATTTTTTTTATTATGTATTTGAACAAAATACTTAAAGATACTTTGATTTTTTACTTTAATTTCCATGTGTATACGTGATTTTTTTGCATCTTAATTTTTTTCTATTTTTTATTATGATTTTTATTTTTTCAAAAAAAAATTGAAATTAATTTTATAAATTTGGATGAAATGATTTATTTTTAATATTCTTAATTTACATTTCAGAATAAATTCAATATATTAAAACAAAAAAATAATTTCATGTGAATTGAAATTTAATTTTCTCCATTTTTAATAGAATTTCATTCAGTCTCATTTTTCTGTATCTTGGAGACATTACTATAGAATTTTTAGCATTGTGAATTTATGAGTTTTAATTCATTTTCCATTTTTTTGTAAGTTTTTGTGTATTTATAATAAGCTTTATATTGTTTCAATGGTATCTTTTAAAATCTTGAAAATAATCAATATATTTAATGATAATCTGTATGTTTATTTTCAAGTTTTTAATATGAATTCTAAACACAGTTTATATCTTGTAAAGTATCTTATAAAGAAATTTGATAATAACAAGTGCAATCATGTTTTAAACTTAGAATGTAAAAGTTTAATGGGTGTTAGATAGAAAACAATACATCATGGATTGATTGCTTATGCATGCACTTTAACTTTCATGGATTGGATAAAATTGACATATGAATGGTCTATTTTTGCAAATGGCATAAACATTGAGTAATATCTTTCACATGATCAACAAAAATCATTTACAAATTTTTTTTGCTAGATATTTAATGCTATACTATGATACTGATAGATGATATTTGATTGGTTTGATTTAAATTGATGCGTCATTTATTAACTGTTTTGGACAATTTTTCATTCATTTTTGTTTTGTATTATGCTTCATAAACTTTAATTTGAGTATCATTGATGTGTTTCAACCATAGTAGTATGATAAAGCTTCAAGGTATGAAAAAAATTTGACATAGTGATTGAGATGATTGATTATGTATGAAAGATTGTACTTTATCTTTTATGTAAAATTAAAAAATCTGTACCATCTATTAATATTTGTATTTTTTTTACCTTTGTGATGTATTCAGTTTAAATTATGAATAATTTCATCCCTCACATGTATGAAATTTAGATGTCTAAATCCAGAAATTGACAAGATTTGAGGGAAAAACGACATGTCTTATTGTAATAAAATAAAGAATGTGCACAGAGTTCAACTTGGCTTTGTAACTCTCAATGCCAAATTTGAAATAATAATGAAGATATGATTGAACTCACCACATGAATTGACGGGGATTCTTATTTTCTTTCACATGGTGTACGTAAGTCTTTATACTGTTATCATGTTAGATATAGTTTTTGAAATATTTCAGACTTCAATCAAGATTATTTTGATGAGATTTACAAAACCTAGTATTGTAGTGAGACACATTTTTGTGTTTTGACTCTCTCAGACAATCTCCAGATCAGTCACTTTTTCCATTTAGTTAGGATGGTGTACACAGATCATCTATGAGTGGGTTTGGACCGAATGTAAAATTTGTTGATATTGTCGGACTTGTGGTTGTAATTCTAGACAGGGAAGAATGGTCATCGTAAGACGATAAGGTCCAAACTGCATGATCAGAGCCATAGGAAGTGCAAGATTTGGCTGAATATAAGATAAATCATTAATGTCATAATTCTTAATCATGACTGATGCTACGGGAACTAGCCCCATGTTACTCCTTAGGTTTCATCCGTGTGATGCTTGATGGGGTCTAGGGATTTCTTTCTTATTCACTCATTAATAAACCTGCTTCGTAGGGTAGTGTGGGACAAGGAAGCGTGCGACTCGCGGACCTGCACTTGCTCCGGAGTCCTCCTCATCAGCAGATTGCATCATGAGTAGCACAGAATCGATATGATTATGTGCAATCATTCCAATCCTCTCGGCGATTATTCCCCTGCATAATGATTAGGGTACCAAACGCTTTACGGTACAAAGCAGTACTTAAATTGGATACTTTGCGTCCGAGCCAGTCGCAGGCCAGAACACGAACGGTCACTGATTTGTGCCTCCTCGCGGTTACGGGATATACTAAGACTAACCATCTCAAACCTACAGACCCGGTACCCGCTAGGCCCGGTCCGGTCCGGGAAAAAAATTTCCTCTGGCAGCAGAATCATACCAGCGAGGTACCCAATTTTCGTGATTCAGTGTGAGAAAATTGGTACAATTTCACGAATTGGTAGCTCGAGTCCCTGAACTCTGAAAATCCAAACCCTGGGCTCATTTGAGTCGCAGCCCACCTCTTTCTCTCCGCCATCGAGAATTTTTGGATTTCAAGTCCCCTCCCCATCGACCACGTAGAGGTCCGGACCGATGGTTAATCGGTTAACCGTTGGGACCGGTTAAAATATCGGTTAACGATTAACCGATACGGACCAATCCTGGACCGGTTAACATACCGGTTAATCGGTAAACAAATTTTCCGGACCGGTTAACCGGACCGTGGCCAAGCCTAGTACCCGCTAGGGTTGGTCACGGTCCGGACCAACGGTTAACCGGTACCAAAAATAAACTCCCATCCGAGTCTTGAATCTTCACAATCCATGGGTACCAAAACTGTAGGTACCCAATTCGTGACTCAGAGTAATGAGAAAATTCATTATCACACCTTTTACCCTGATTTCGGCCTCATTGCAAGACGGAAATGTTTTGACGGGCCCCACACTAACCCTGAACTCACGACGAAGGAAAAGGAAGAAATCGAGCCCTCAATTCGGAATTCAATCCGCTTCAGAATTTTGTCGCTCTCGTGAGCTGGTGATCGTCAAATTGTGCAAATATATCACCTCTTGCTGTGACGATCGAGGCTTACGAGATGGGACCTGTGCAAGGACAGAATTTTAGTCGCTCTCGTGAGCTGGTGATTGTCAAATTGTGCAAATCGATCACCTCTTGCTGTGACGATCGAGGCTTACGAGATGGGACCTGTGCAAGGACGGATGACAGGATTCTGCTGAACGTCGTTGTCGCACCGTGGCACCTGCGAGTTCGTCGTGGAATGCACGCAAGAATTCGGGAGTTTAGCCGACCGTCAGAATAAGGTGCTGTATTTGAGAAACTATTAGTCCACGAGTGTTCCTTGGCACACAATTCGAAAGCGCGCAGAGCCTGTTAGGGTTGGCAACGGCCCGGTACGACGATTAACCGGTTAAAGTATAGGCCAAGCCTGGACCAGTTAAACTACCGGTTAATTGGACCGATTAACCGTTAACCGGACCGTGGCCAAGCCTAGTACCCGCTTTCCACCACCGTATAATAATAGTCCGTCATGGCCTTCGATGGGGCTCCACCTGGCACCACGTCACCCTGAGAACCTTGCCTCGGGATCGAAACAGACCAAGAGCTAACCCGACCGTAAGGTGGGTTAAGGAGTCGCATCTCTGGTTAGGCGCTCGAGAAGCCCTCGGAGGATGATGATTGGTGGTAAACCCGATGCAACCGGAAGCCCACTTCTGTTCCCTCTGTACTGAGGCAAATAGTTGGGTCTGGAGTCCGTTTCGCTCTAGGATTACCTGGGGATCCGGGTTTTTAACCGGCTACATCAAGTGTGCCGAATCGGATACTGTACTCGACTTTCCTCGGGTGTGCTGCTGGATGGAGAGGAACGGCCGTGGGTTAGGTTTCGTACCCGCAGAGTTAGTGGCACCACGGGTTGGGCTAATCGGTGACCAGTGACCGACATCCTTCCGGGCTCAGTCCGACTCTGTCATTACGTGTCACAGACCTTCGACCTCGTAGCGGCCACCGTTGGACTACTACTCGGTTGACACGAAGACACGAGTGGTCGTAGGAAACATCGTAACTGAGAGACCCTTTCTCGCGAATTTTTAGGCTTGGCGTCTCCCGAAGCCCCCGAAGGAAATCGAGATACTGTACGAGGAAAATCACAGGCCCTGCTAAAAACACGACACGATCGGCTAAAATGTTCAGCTTAGAAAACAGCGCTCTGCCCCTGTTCCTGATGCATCCGGTTGTTATCAAATCAATTCAATTTTCTATCAAAAAAGCTGAAATCGTAAAAGCTCTCGCAAAATACATGAGAGTTGTTGGTATAAAGCAACGGACTGGCACAGCCAAGAGGTTAAACCTTCAGCTTTTCTGCACGCAAGGGGGCCACGACGATATGGAGACACAATGAGATGATTACTCCCTAGACTTAATCTATACAAATGAGTTTTCCTGTACACATAAGTTTTGGCCTGAAGCTGCCGAAAGACCTAGAAATTCGGGATGGATCTTGGTTTTCTGTCCGATAGTGCTCGGCACTCTAAAATTTTTTCTGACCAGCTTAGTGAGACGAATGCCACGTTTATCTGAGCTCGCTTTTCTCTGGAGCGTACAGATGAGGCCCACTTACTACATTGATGGAATTGAGATCCGATGCCTGCGATTCTGCTTAAATGACTTCATTGAAACATGCTCTCCCTCCCTTATCTCTTCTAGAAAGGTTCCTAGAAACAAGGTCATGGATGAGAGTGCATCATGCATTTTCCTATTCAACATTCCCTTCCAAATTCCTCCTTGAAGTGCGAAAACGACAGGAACTTTTCGAACTCGGACGAAACGAACACGCAATAATGTCAAACCTGCTGGGAAACTCCTAAAGGCAGACACACGAGAAATAACAACGCAATCCAGGCGATATCCACTCAACGTTTTGGCTTCAGGTTTAGGGAACACTTATGTCAGCAAGATGGTCTAACTCAAGGAATTCGTTTGATAATAGGGACAAGTAGGAAAAAGTCTTGACAACATGTCAAATTATCTGCTTCAAGTGGTCAGGTCTATGAAATTCCGTGGATTTTCTGGTATGATGGCAGAGTGCTTAAGTATGCTGCCGGTGCACAGCAGGTAAAACAACCCCACAAATTGTATCTTTAATCCACTGCCCTTTCTGTGTAAAAGTCTGGAGCTTTAAACGTCTAAGTTGATGATGCAATAAGCTTTGACCCCCTTTGGTGGATTTCGTACGGTTCGAGTCAGACGATTGTGTCCCAACATTACATTAGTAGAGAAAGCAGGAGGTTTTAGAAAACTCGTGAAATTCGAGTTGTAAGAAGTTTGTGCATCACTCCTTACCAGTGCATGCTCGGGTAAATCGATCCTAGACAAAGAGGAGCCAAGGCTGACTTGAGGAGGTGGGAAGGTTCTACGATGAGAAAGCTGCCAGGGCTTGACAAAAGGGAGAATATCAAACATTTTAGCCCATGGAAAATATCAGCAAAGGCTGACTGCGCATAGCGAGTCGCTTCTAACTCACAAAGTAATGGCCGGCAGATAGACAATAGTGTCACAAGAGAGCAAGGTAAGGAAACAGATAAAAGAAGCTCAATAATGGTCTATGACAGGGTACTCTAACTCAGACCAGAAAAGTAGTAAAGTCAATGGCACCTTTTGCAAACGAAGCAATGTACTGGATTATCGTTTAGAGCTTTGCGACGGAACAGAGGCGAAGCTCATGGTTTTTTGCAACTGAATGGAGTCCAAATTTTCAGGTTGACATGGATGGAGTCTATGACCATAATAAGCCGCCTATGCCACACGCAGAGGGCTGCGGAGTTGAAATGTTAGATTTCTCTGTCAGTCCGCCTATTTGACACCCACCACTCGAAAACTGACGTTGCAAGTTATGGGTTTCTGAGTCCTTCGAGGCAGGTACTCCCGAAAACCTCGCACTGGAGAAAGGTTACACTGATAATCAATGCTCCCACCGCACTGCCTACTGTAGACTTCAAGTCCGCACACTTGGCCTACAACTAAAAGTACGCTTCCAAGTATAAAAGGACGATAAACAGAGTAGAATGTAATTATTTTCAGGACAGCTGACATGGTTTTAGACATTTGAGCGTACATTCTTCTCGAAATATATGTAATGTATTTTTAGATGAACTTCTTCTTCCAAATGTGTTGATAGTATGTAGAGCAAGCCGTATAAAATCTGGCAAATGCCAAAATATTAACACTGTGATTTTATCATTTTACGTCCTTGCGATAGTCGCTTTGAGCATTTCGGGTTGTTTTGCATATCCATGCGAGAGTTATATTTATTTGATGATCGAAAAGTTACTTTTAATCAAATTCGTATTTGGAAACGTCCAATGATTTGAAAACAAGATATGAAATGTACCTGGATTCTCATCATCTAGAAAAAAAATTTAACAATCATCAAAACAAACATGTTACATACATTATATGAAAATAAATAAGTGAAAAAAAATTGGATGAAAGGTAGATGAATTGTATTTTTTTACGTTTCTCTTTCTCTTTCTTTTTCGTAACTTCCTCTCCAGTGCTGAGTATTTTTCTTACTTATTCTCTTTATATCCTGCGTAACTTATCTCCAATGCTGAATATTTTTCTTACTTATTCTCTTTCTTTGATGCGTAATTTGCTCTCCGTAATTTTTTCTTTTTTTTCTTTTTCTATACAACTTTGCTCTCCACCTTTGAGTTAGTACGAATAATAATTTTGGCACCTATTTGCATTTTCTTTCAATATGGAAACACACGGAGGTTCGCTATCCGCAATTCACTAGCAAATTCAAGCGCATGCAATCACAGTCTATATCTCTACCATAAGTCCTCCCTGCCTTCCCCTTCATGCGCGAGATTTCGCTAAATTCCGGAATTTATGGCAGAACATGGCGCAATTGTGTACTGAACATGCAATATTGACCTAAGGAAATTAATTCAACATCCATGCAAAACACTGCCACTGCTCCAGTATCGTTGCTTGATCAAATGACTTCAGTACAATGTTCCTCTTAAACTTGCAGAATGATGCAAGGTCTCTAAGTTCTACTCGATTGGACTTTTTTCCAACCATGTAAAAGAAGGCGAAGGCAAGGTCATTGAGAAAGTCTAAATTACAAGTTGCGGAGAAGCTGAACATCAGTCTACAATCGAGAAACGTTTCCCTATCACCTGACAGCTCAGAACTTTTATGCCGGCTCAACATACTGTAACTACACACCGTTCAAAGTCCAGGAGTGAAAGAATAAACCTGGTCGAATATGAACTTCGTGACCTTGTTTCAGAACTCATTGTATCGTGTAGATCTCAATAACTGACATCTATTGTAGAAATGTTGGACAACATTGTTGAGTTGTCTCTACGGCTCATGCTAGTAATTTCTCGGGACTGCCCGGGATATAAGGCAAATATTCAGTAGAGAACAAATTTCAGTACATGGTGCTATATGTGCCTAAACGGGATAGCATACAGAAACTGGTCAGATAATTTCAGAAGCCGAGGAGACTTCTTGTAGCAACAGCTTTCAACATAATCTGCGATTGATTGGAGTCTACGATTGATTCCTATTTGAGGAGTCAGAATCGTCACTGGCTTGATGGGCTCCAGACTGACTGCAAGGTTCAGGCACCTTGGGAAAGCGAAACCCATCATCAACAACTGTACTATGTTTGGAGTTTGTCAATAGGAGATGCATAGGCATCCATGTCATTGCCTCGGCTGACGATAATGCGTACCATAACTACAATGTTCGACTCCAGACGAAAGATTTTGTACGAGAAAGCAGTTGTACTTCCAACGCAGTCCCCAACTTAGAGCAGAGTGCAGGATGCACAGGATTGGCAGGGGCCAGGTTGAGAATGTGGGACGGCTTGGGTGAACCCAGGCATGCAACGGATCCCTCACCCATAGGATTCCTGAAAAAAATTCTAACCAAATGACTCAATTCTTGTGAATGAGTGGAAAAGGGAGCATTTTACCATCGTCTCAAGTTCTTAACTTGCCAGTACAAGTAGTTTCACTGCATGTGTTTGATAGAACCCGGGAGAGAAGGCTCGTAGGTAGTAGTATGTAGGTATGCAGTCCGTATTCTGTCCATGCCTTACAAGAATTGTGTATAGATTTAAGCGCATTTCATACCTTGTGTTGCACTCTGAGTAAGCAACGAGGGGCTCGTTAAAGAACCGGATGAGTAAGCTTCGAGGCAGCTATGCGGCGTCGATGTTGTATCCCTAGAGTAAAGATTCGACATTCTAGAACATCCAAACCTGGACTCTCGCAGTTGTCCGACTACAAGTAGGCACAGCCTCGAGAATGTTTACAAAATTGAGGAGCCTGGCAATCAAGCGGCAGAACTTCAGATTGCACCGAAGAAATAAACAGCACCTGTCATCATGACAGTCAGTCAGTTCTCGGTGTCAAACTCCGGCCTGTGAATCAAAGCAGGCGGGACAGACACTGCGCAGAAGATAGATTTTTCTGACCCCATGGCTCGCCCCACTCATTAAGAGGCTACAACGTCGAGATCGGCATCGTAGGCAGCCAAATGCGTATCGTCCATCGCAGATCCACGTACGAACGAAGGCCCAGGAGAGGGAGAGGCGCGGAGAGACGAGCCTAGAGCCTGTGGATCTATCGCGGGGCCTGGCCGCCATCATGGACGTTGCAGTGGACCAACGGTGATCACATCAATGGCGTAACGATACTTATCCGATCTACGGCATCGAGCAGCAGCAAGAAAGGAACAACATCTGGAAAGGAAGCCGCGCCTGCACATATCACCTGCAGAATGTCTGGAATGCAGCTCACTCCATGGGTTCTGTTCGCATTCGCCCTTTTCCGTTGCGCGCAGATGACGCCAGTCCTCGGGCCTTTTCTACCGGCTGACCTCGAGCGCGTCAAGGCAATGAGTGCCTCGCCGCCACCGGGCACCTGCTGCTCCCGCCCTTTCCCCTGCAAAAGCGAGCCAACGGAATGATTTCTACTATGGCTTCCCGGCTCCATTCCTTCGTCACCGATTCCCTGCACCTGCCGGCCGCAGGAACATCAAATCGCCTCGCCACCATGCACGCACCCGGACGGCGGTCTCTGAGCTAGGCTTGGCCACGGTCCGGTCCGGACTGGCGGTTAACCGGTTAACCGTGGGTCCCGTTTAACCGGTCCCAGAGAAAATTCGTCGCCCTAATGTAACGTAATTCAGAGCATTCATAATGAATTCAATTGTGGACCATTTAACCGGTAAATCAAGCGGTTAACCGGTCAAAATGTAATTCAGAGCTTTCATAATGAATTCAATTTTGGACTGGTTAACCGTTAACCGGACCGTGGCCAAGCCTAGTCTGAGCTTCTCTCTCCTCCGCACTCGAAGCAAGTTCAATCCGCCATCTCCCGGCACCTGCCGTTCCTCGCGCAATCAACCGCGACTCGAACGTGTCATAGTACATCCAATCCCTGTTACACAAGCAGACAAAGCGTCGCGTCGGTGCAGGAGAGAAGAGAACGACCTGATCATTTCCAGATTGCAGAATCTTCCCCTGCGCCGAGTGGAGGTAACGGATTTCATTCTTCCACTTCCTTCTCCACAGGCCGAATCGTGTGGCATGCCTTGGCCCCTCATTTTCCCGAGTTCTCTATTCGAGAGGTCGATTGATGAGGCATTCCGGTAGGAATATTAAAGCCCAGAACCCCCGCGGCGTATACATTCCTGTGCAGTTTGTACGAATACCTGGAATTCAACCATACCCTCCCTTCCCCTGCAAACGACGGGAGCCAATCATTACACGAGAAATGACACAGAAATTCACAGGGCAATGCAAGATTGCGCGAAAATCATATTCTTAAATACTCGCAAACCCTGAGAGAACATTGAGAGCCTTTCAGTCAGCTCCAAATAAAATGAAAACAATCATAATGTGATAGACCTGACCACTGCCCTACTTGCATACGCATTTGACTCACGGTGAATCTAATGTGTGACCGAGAGGCAAATCCTACGATCGAACACCTAATGTCTGATATGGCTAGGAGGTCATAGGCGTACGGTGATGCGAACAATTTGCCGAGATGATATGAATGTTCCTGCCTATGTCGAATCAGCGTAATCTAAGCTGTTCTATCTTGCTTCTTTCTAATTTGGCCCACGGAGCAGATATAAACCATCTCGAAGCTCAAAAGCGTCAATGCATTGTAGGTAGACCTGCCAGCATGTTGCGCCTTTTTATTATGAATTGTCAGAGCTGCTCCATGTCGAGCCTCCCGTGAAATGTTATTCTACGCATCGTGGAATTCTTTTCAACTCCTGAAAATTGGTGATATCACTTCCAGCCCCCCTCGACCGACGACCCTTAAAAGCAACGATGTACGGGATGCGTAATAAAGCATGTTGTTGAGAAAATATGGTGACACGGCATCAGGGACTAAATCAGAGTCACCTCTGGTCTACGTCAACATGTTGAAACTGCAACATCCAACATTCATACTTTTGTAGACTCCAAGTAAAACTCTCAACCTAACATTTACATATGATTCAAGCCATATATTTATTTCGTATACAAGCCTTTGTACCTTGAGAAATTACACCATACTCTGTTGTTTCAGAAATCCTCGCTATCTAGCTTCATGTCATAATTTTGAAATGATCGTCTAGTTTAATCTTCAGTTCAACAATAAACGTTGAGACATGTCTTGATGTTTAATCTGGGACCTCTAGGCTTTTTACAACATAATTTAACCAAACTTTTGAAGAAGTCTCATTATGTAAACCAATAGCATAATCGATCTTCATATAAATATATACTCTTAAAAATCTTGCAACATCAAACAGATTCAACTTCTTTATGGATATTTATTTCCTGAAATTTAACTATTACAATGAACATGTTTCTGAAACATAAGCTTTATCGAGATATCTTAAAGCATAATCATAATTGTACTAAAGACATGGCCAGTTCAATCATACGTTTGATTAAAACGCATAAGCATTGAGTTGTAAATTACATGAAAAGCGTGTAACATATTTGTTGATGCTTAGACTTGCATGCTTGCACTTTTGAAAAAATCCAATCCAATGTATTGCACTGCACCATTCCGGTATGCGTGTCTTTAAAAAACACAATAATTCTCCTGTTTAATTGATGATATCATATCCTTTTTCAGGAACATGTAACTTCAAGAATTTTAATTTTATGCTTTCATGCATCTCACAATTCACAGCCATGTATCTAGTCTGAAGTGAAGCTAACTTTACTACATTGAATGAAGTCCTTTTGTTCAAATTTGTTTAAACTAAATTTCCGCCTAAATTAATGTTCAGCGCAGTTTCTTCATACACGTCAAAAAATAGATACTCAATCTTGTCAAAAAAATATCATACTTTAAATCTATCTCATGTCCAAATTTCTCTTCTTGTCAAAATGCTTCTGAAACTTTCATCTCATGCGTTTTTTAAAAATCTTAATATTTTACAGTTTGTAATGAAGCTCATCTTGCAAAATCTTTTGATTCAACCAATTTATTAATCATTTTGGTTTCTTTATCATTTTCAATTTCCACTGTCCAACAACCTTCTTCAAATCACAATCTTATACTTTTTAATAAATCTAAAAATATCCTTTGTTTTAAATGATTTTTTTCCTGTTGACAATCACAAATTTTTTTTCTTCAGCAATGATATCATTATTACTATTCTATTGATATTTTTAATGAATCCAATATATTTACGTATTTTTTTTCTTGAATATGGTCATTATTATTATTGAGAAAAGTTGATACAAAAGGATATATATATATATATATATATGGTGTAATTAATATAGCATCAAAATATAGTTCATGTATATGTATTTGAACCTAAAATTCAAAAGTTAAAAAGAATTTGGCTTACTAGTCTTCATTCCTCTTGTTGAAAGTTCCTTCGTGATATATTTCTGCATTCAAATGTGCACAATGCTTCAAGATGCTTTTATCTGTTTCAAATAATATGGTATTCAGATATTTCAGATATTCCTCTTCTTTTAAGCTAGTAGATTATCCCACTTGTAGACCAGACCTCAAACTACATTTGAGTGGTCGTGCGCATGCAAACATATATATCGTATCATATTTTGAAAAAAGTGGAAAACATACAGTTTGGATCTAGCTTAGAGAAACAGTGTATTTTCTGTCTAAATTAGCTTAGATTAGTTAATGGGTTGTATATATATATAAAGTATGATCAATATAAATATGTTTGGTAAAACTCAAGAACATATACAACTTTACCATATTAGACCTCTTTTCGTTCCAATACCATGCGCTTCAACTATTTAACAATAGATTCGAATGAGACACTCGGAGCGTTTGAATTAATCATGAGCCCAAGGTCCTGATATATTAGAGATAAAAAGGTGTTTGGCTGCGAAACATTGCGAACGTAAAGTGTGTCTTTCTCCTACATAATCAGCAGAAACATTTTCTATGGAGATGAGAAAGTTGCTTTCATTGTCTTTTCAACCTAATCAATAACTCTTTCCTTCCTCATCAGTAAACCTAGATTTTTATACTGACATACTAGAAAGATAAAGCATGATGGAGACAACTCAATAGTGTTGATGATTACGAGAGAAAAAATCTGTCCCTTTTGCCCTCCAATATGAGGATATGATGACGGTGTAAACTCTTGTATTCATGTGCGAAAATGCGTGACCAACTTTATGATGGAATCATGAGAGATGTTCGCCTGTGGAACATATTTGTACGTACATAAAAATCATCATTCTAGCTGGGGTATCACTTGGGGGCTCCATTGTGAATCCACAGAATAAAAGTACATTCTCCTATCTGTACGATGACTCCTCTGGGGCTGCGAAGAACTTTGGTAGGTAAATGCTGATATTCATTCCCATCCATCCCGATGGTCTCACATACAAGTGGCGAACTTCATTCAACACTTTGGATTTTCCCGACATATTTCTGAATCACCAGAAGGTTAAAATACTAACTGCTGTCAGATTCAAAATTCGGCGATTTTTTTCACATTGGTTTCAGAATAGCTGTGAGATGGCCGATTTTGTAGAAACGAACCTGTACCTGGGATATACGAGGCAACACAAGCAGATTCTATTTGTGAAGGGATTCCACCCCCAATGGTGGGACGTCATAAATGAACGGTGGTGTCAAACTTAAACAATGTGTATATAATATAATATAATATAATATAATATATAAAAATTACGCATGTATGGTCTCAAATTGAAGAGCATAAAAAAACGTATAATAAAAGGTCCTAATTGCACATAAGTTGTCATTTGTCACTTTCATTTGGGTAAAAAACTTTGACAGTTTCATCGAGGGAAATTTGTAATGATGTCACTTAAACAATGTGTATATAATATAATATAACATATAAACATTACCCATGTATGGTCTCAAATTGAAGAGCCTAAAAAAGCGTATAATTAAAGGTCCTAACTGTACATAAGTTTTCATTTGTCACTTTAATTTGGGTAAAAAACTTTGACAGTTTCATCAAGGGACACTTGTAATAGATACCGTACGATGCTGTATACAATTATACGGTATCAATTTGGATTTTTCAGGAAAAAGATGAGTTTGGAACTTCTTAGAAAAAAATTAAATTGTGGATGATGCTTGTGTATAATCATGGTCGCAACATCGTTTCCCTAGATAGAATGCCGGTTTGATGCAAGTGACTGCTAATCAATTGCACATTGTTTCGAATTTAATTTTTGCGTAAGTATTATATATGTCGGTTTTTAGGGAGTCTGAGTCGTCTTGGGAATGATGCCCTTGCAGTGCCCCCAACTTTTAGCTGCTTCTGGAAGGTTCCGTTCATTTGAGGACGGGTGTTGGAACTCCGAGGGTACTGTAATGGGTCGGAATTGTTCTTTTCATTCTCGACGGTATCGGTCGATCGAGCGTGAAAAAGAAACAGAAGGAAAAGGCTTTGCCCACTGTCACTGTAAGGAAAGGGCTGGGCTTAGAGGAGCAACAGGCGCATGGAACAATCATGAAGGATCCAACGCACCCCTTTGCGATCAGAAATGAGCGCTGCAATGTGCTGCTAGTGATGCTAGTGAGAACCCCGAGGCATCAAAAAGTCCAGAGAGTCCAGATCTTCGGGCGATCAACACGGGTAGATACTATTGGTGAGATTTTATGAGGGCCGTCGCGTTGTATCCCTATACCTCTCGAGTTCCTCATCTTCGTAGAGGAAGATTTAGGCAAAATGGAGGAGCGTTCAGGGGGAGTTATGAAAAGGTCAGTAGCTCGAATGAGTACTGGAATCCGTAATTAACCAGCCTATGCAAGAGACAAGATGAATTTGTCACATGCCTCCCTCGAACTGCTGTAAAGATATGTTGCTATGGAATAGGAGTCCGCCCTGCGAAGGCTACGAGAATCGAGCAGCAGCGCTAGGGAGTCGGGAAGAAGATTGCATAGGGACTCAGCTCAGCTCAGCTCAGCTCAACCAAGTGCAGTGCAGTGCAGTGGTGGAACCGTGGTGACTGACCGGACTTACGAGGTGGACTCGACCCGCCAACCAGATCAGACTGCAGCACCTTTGGATCGCGAAACAGCTACCACATCATTGTCTGAATCGACCTCTGACTTATAATGAGCTAAATGATTAGGGCATAGAAGAAGCCGACAAACGAGCCTTCATTCTCATGCCTCTGCCGACAGGTGCCGGACTTCAGAATCCGAAATCGGGGCTGGGATGGGATTCATGTAACATTCACATCGATACATCCATCATCCATCCGTCCCGGGGGGAAGGTCTGCATGTGCTATATTTCATCTCTTTACAAAAAGTAGTTTACGTACACGAAAGTTCGGCTGGAAAATGTTTGCACGGCCTTGTGCAGCCATGAGGGTGAGGGTGAGGGTGAGCTAGTCCACTTCACTGTGCTATATCTAAAGGGGCGACGGCATGCGGAGCGAACCAAGATGTGCCTTCAGGCACAGCCGAAAACTATTGCTGCTCGAAGTCGTCGTCGTCATCGTCGCCCTTGCTATAACCGCTAGTTGGTTCTACGTACTAATTTGCAGTACGACATTGTAATAGAGGTGCTGAAGCTAGATTGCTACGACATGTCGACTGCAGACTGCAATTTCTCTAATCTATCGATCAAAATCTCGAAGCTCGCTCTCCGGTCCAGCATGCTCAACCTCACGAAACTCGTGTTCGACCCAAAGTAGCCTCCACTCCTGGTGAGAATGCCGCTGTGCCGTAAAAATCGCTCGCAATCCGCCTCCTCGTTGCACCGCAGCCAAGCAAAAGCTGCGAACACATGTGACACAAGACCGACGTCAGCTCGACACATACAACAGGGCCCTGTGGTGCCATTATGTACAAACTGTACCTCTCGCTCGGGGCATGGTGCGAGGTGGAAATCTTAATTAACCAATGGTGGACAAAAGTCATCTCTTCACAACAAAGTCCGACGTCGTTCTACCTACAATATAGCTTGACTGGAAAGTGCCTCGACACCAACAGATTCACGATACAAGCCAGCTCGTGGATTTCCACGTCACACCAAATCATCAAGCACATCAAACTGCCCCACCATGAGAATCGACATAGACGAGAGAAAGCTTTGGCTGATCGAGTACATGCAAGTCGTTACGCCTGACCAGCATGTCACGCAATAGGCGACGAGAAGGCGACCTCTGCTTATGGCAAATTTGACAATGTGGCGCAATCATGACGGTGCTACCAACACATCTAGACCTCTCCTCTCCGAGAAGCAGTTACCTCATCAATAACAACAAACCTCATGGACCCTGACTTACAGACGTGGTCTCGTGGTCTCCACAACGCACGACTCAGACCACCATCTCTCGCAAGATGTGGGAAATTGTACACTACAATTGCGCTCCACGTACTGGACCAGGATATGCTTTAGTCGCCATGTGCTCACGGTCGCAGGGCAGAGTACGAACTCACAAGTGGCATACGGACGAGAAGTGGCTAACCTCTTATTACTTTAATGATGGAATCTATTTACGGTGAGTTCCAGTAGAAGATTATGAGGTTCTACACAATGTACCAGCCCGATTGCTAAAAATATATTCGATGTGCCCACTATGCGGCAAATTCAGGTGATGCACAAAAAGCATGGACTCTAAAACCTGGCGATGCTCTTAAAATGTCCTACTACATGCGACAAACCATGAAACCATGGTTTCGAAAAAGGACCCAGAGAGAGAAGGACCTGTCCCACGCACTGCGCATTCAGTATCGCATCCACCATTTCAATCGTCCAGAGTTGGACGACGACGTTGTTGAACGACTGATTAGGAATTCACTACATGCTTACAGCTATATAAGCCAGGAAGACAATGTTGACAACTGAGAGGCTTACCTGGAGCAGGGCTTCGAATTTCACCGAAAAATGTGCACCATGCTGGCTGAAATTCGGGTACACTAAAACGCGTCCCCTTGGTCAAGACGGATCGAAGACGCTGCCATCTGTAAGACATCTCCGCTGCAGCGAAATGGAACAGTTGTTTGGCACCAATTCGCTCCTCAATTTGACCAGACCTCGTCTTCTCGAGAGTGTAAGGGATTTTCCCTCCCAACTCTCGATATTGCCTTGTCACTGCTCGCAAAATATGAGCCGCACGAATTTGCGCGTCCTTCGAAACACCAATCGTATTCAGCTCGATAAACTTGGCCATCTTCTGTGCGACTTTCAGGTCCTTGACGAGTGCCCAGCTGCAAACCACATCACGGATTGTGAAACCTGTCGGACAGTCGACCATAGCCCCGAATTAAGACAAATTGCAGGCACAAGGAAACAAGCAAGTTCTACGCCTTCAAGCGGACGGGCAACTGCTCACTCACCCTATCCTCGTGCCGGCGTGTCCAGTGCTCTTCGAGACTGTGAACAGCATGAGGTCATGATCTGCAGGGGAAGTGATCGGCGTGTGGTGCGGCCAGTAGTAGGCCAAATCATGCACCGGGAAGCCGGCGCCGCCGCTCACAACCGACTGCCGGACTTCACCCGTGGGATTGTTGGGAGTCGTGACCAGCTCGATGTATGAGTCGTCTGATTGTGGCCGATAGACAGATGCGTCTCCAGCCCACTGATATAACGAAGACTTGAGATAATCTGTTATTGTCGGATATGACTACACCATAAACTTCTGTTAGTCGAAAACGACACATGAATGAAGGGGAATTCTCTCAAGGGGAAGTAGCCAAACTGCACTGCACGCAAGGACTCCTGCTTACCGAGTAGAATGGTGCAACAGACACCACTTTGGTGGGAGTGGCGCGGTCCGGAGGCGACAAGGCATACAATGCAGCCTGGAAGAGTTGAGTGGAACCGACACCGATGACGATGTGCCTGCCCTCGGTTACAGCATTGCCAATCACGTCATGAAGAGAGCGAATCACTTGGTCCAGCTCCGTTTGCACGAAAAAAAACTGCTTGCTGTTGGCGTAGTAACTCATCCGCTGCCACCCGAGAATAGTCGTCGTACAGGAATCCCCATGTTCGCGCCAGTAGTTTTCATACATGGTAGGATCCCCTCTGCAGAAGATGCCGATGAGACGGGTTAAAATAATGAGATGGGCGACGTCCTTTGACGCCTAGATGGCCAGATGGCCGAGACGAGTTCTGATCTAGAGATTGGAACCAATGAAGCAGCTATCAGGTCAAGCCATATCTGCCTACAGCATTTAGAGAACGCCTGTACCGCCCAAGTTGAATACTGTGCTGACATCAAGAGCTGGGGTACGGCGACAATCAAGTTTGAGGCGGCAGCAGCAGGACGTCTACAACAGTTTACACAGCACGATTGTTGATGAAAACATTGAGTCGGACACCTCACAAACACACACCGCCTCCAGTGTGGTGCATATACAGCAGGAGCGATTATAAGAACTGATGACGGATGACTTGTGCACTTACTGGTAGAGGTCAATGACGCACATGTCGTCAGTTGCTGAACAATCTCTTCCACTGAAGCAAGAGTGGCATCGACAAGTTCCGTGCTCCGTTTCAAAGTCCACTTCATACACTCCATGACCGGAGCAAGGATCGTTGGCTGTGATCTCAATTAATTTGCTTGCAGGGCAGATGGCTGCGGGGATTGCAATTTCGGCGACTTTGAGAGGTGACGCAGTATCATGCTTCATGTACGATAGCAGCACGAACATGAGAAAGAGCCCATTCAGAATGAAAGACGTGGTAATCCAGCTCTTGGGAGTTACACTCCCATCGGGAGCGAACTCGCCATTCGGCAATGAGGCAGCCACCAGGTGCTTCCGACTTTTGTTACACGTGACCCGAAGAGTTCGGACATCTCGTTCGTCTACATTGGTGGTGCCCTGCTTCTCCTCGCAGTCTGAGTCCATTCGAGACGACATTGAAGAGAGTACTCTCGGCTGTCGGTTGACTCGCTCGAGTATCCACCTGCCACAGATGATCTTCGTGAGGTAGGAATTACTCACTGAGCGTCACGGCCTTGCTCGGGCGATATGGACCCAGTCAGTACTCGGCAAGCTCCCAGGTACGAGCTAAATTTACGAGGGGCGAAGAGTAATGCTAGAGTTCGGACTCCACCATCTCTAGCACCAGCAATAGGAATGATTCATCCGAAATCCGCCGATTGAACACGTGTAATATGTGATTTCCTCCCACGCGACGTTCTCGGATCAAGGTCTACATGCCCTTTCCAGATTCCCTTTCACTTTCGGAGCCCTTCATTCGCAGCAGCGCCAGAAGCAACTCGCTAGTAATTTGCATGTAACTTGGCCACATGCACACCCTACCTTACCTGCTGCCGTCAGCTTTATACACCCACAAACTCCCAGCCCCTTCCCCTTGCCTGACAAAGGTAAGATCACCTCGCACTGCAGGATCTAATTTGGGTCTGCCAATCTAAATCCGCTTTCAATTGCATTCCGTACAAGGCATCCGTTCTACCATTCGGTCCGCGTTGGAACTGCTGCTACCATCGTACACCCCATATCTCCTTCTCTCTCTCTCTCTCTCTCTCTCTCTCTCTCTTCCCCGGTGGAGCTGCTGCTGCTGCTGCCGCTATTCGCTGTACTCGCAGTGTCTCTGTTCTCTCGCCACGGATACAGTAAATCCTCTTTCTTTCTCACAAGCGAAGAAACTCTCGCGAGTGAGATCTCAGAATTTCAGAATTTCAGAAAGCTCCACTCATTACGGACCCACACGTTCCAGAGCTCCACTCACTCAGCGCGACTACTGCGGCGAGGAGGGTACGACCAACCTCTCTCTCTCTCTCTCTCAGCAGCAGCAGCTCCTCATGCATAACTCTTCCTCCTCTCATGTCTCCGTCAACTCGCCGGCCACCCTGAGCATTCTCTCTCGCTCTCGCCCTCGCCAGTCGCAAATCAACGCCGCACTGCCTTGTCTGACCGCTTCATCAATTCCTTCACCTGCGCAGCGGCTGCACAAGCATCCCTCGCTCGCCTCCTGCGTCTGCATCTACGTCTGCAAGGCTCTCGCTCTCTCGCTCTTTCTTGCGCCCGAGCTCAAATGAAAAGAAACGGCTCGTGTACTCACATGCGCGGGCTCTCACGTCATCCTCCTCGTCTCCGTCGAGCACCAAAGCACAACGTTCCAGCCCCAGCCGAGTCACGAGTCCAGAGCAGACCAGACCAGACCATACCATACCATACCGCCGGACCGGACCGGACCGTAACGTAGCCCAGCGAACTCGCATGGATGAGATATGAATACACATGAAGCCATCTGCGCTAGGAGATGCAATTAAATACGATACGAGCGCTAGATAAGACAACAGCCCCTCATCATGAGCATCTGCTCTCGCTCCGCCGTAGCTCGCCTCGTCTGCCATTACATGTACTGTACGTTCTAGTCCACGACAGCAGAGCCGAGTCCGGGTCCGTCATGACGACCACGCCCAAAACAGATCGTATGCTACTGCGCTAGCTAGCTAGGCTAGCCCTCTAGAGAAAAGCCCCTCAAAAGGCACTGCGTCCAATCGCAGCCATGCTCGCCAGCCCAGTGACTTCTTGTATCCATACCTCATTGCTATCCATACCCATCTCGCCCGGACGAGTGAGTGCTCGGACGATTCTTTCCTTCGGCACCACATTGACATTTCTCGTTCATCAATTACTGTACTTGATGTCCTGAGGTCCCAAGGTCACTGGCATCTGGATTTCGGCTCCGTCGCCGCCATCGCCGAAAGCCACAGTCGCATTCTTGCATCTCAGAGTTGGCATTTCCCGATTTCTTTGCCCTTCGTCATCGGGCCAATCTTGCGGACTTGGCTCCGTAGCCACTTGTCGCCATCTTATAACCATAACCAACGCATCGAATCTGCTCCCATTTTTCTACGGTAGGTTGGCTTTTACCTTCCGGACATTTAAGAGTAACCGATGGATAATAGGATTTTTAGTGTTAAGCGATAAATTCCCGCTCCAAACCGTCGGAGCGGGCATCGGACGCCGTCGTTGATACATCACCGACGGCGTCGGTGATGTATCAACGACTATCCACCGTGGCATCTCCATTCGGCTCCAAAGTTTTTATACTACTGGTCACCTGTATAATAAAAAAACCATCTTACTTGTTAGCTTTAAGATCAACTAGACATTCTTTACGTTTGTCTGTGCAAAGAATCCACCAAGGTGGTCTTCTGTTTTTTAAGGTCTTTTGTACCACCCTTTCCTTCTAAATCAGACGAACCCTTCAAATCAGCGTCGTTTTATACAGCACATTATAAATGTATGGTCCGTACAGATTTAAAATGCTTAATATGTGATAATACATATACGTTATATTCAATAAAATATTTATTTAGCCACATCAAAGAAATATAGGTTTTACATCAATTATGTCAAAATTTAGCTTTTATATCAACATGTTTAACTTAACACCGAGTTTAAAGTTAATTAAATCAAGAATTTTGACAACACTTTTAAAAAGTCAGCTTAAATTCATGATATATACATCTATAAATCCAGGTGAGTATATAACTTGTGTCAAATTCTAAGATGACACGTGGGTCTTTTTCAAACCGTCATCACTTATCAATATACTATCCTCAACTTCAGTCAAAAGTAACATACATCTAAAACAAAGCTCAAATGACATAAACTCAATCTTTGTGTTGTTTTGACCTTTGAGTATATTTATTTTAAAAAAGTTGATCATTGTATGTCAAAAGTTTAATTTTTAAAAAAAAAATTCACTTTCAAATTTTTTATAAACATATATGTATATCTTAGCTGAAGTGACAGTAAAAATGTTTGTAAGCTAATTCAAACATTCAAGATTCATTGATATAACGAGAAAATTACTTGATGTTACCCTCCAAAACACATAGAGGTTACTAGTACCCATCATTTCATGTGATAGGATCTCACCAACGACACAAGTTATACATGTTCTAATATGGTGGTGTTTTTTTTTCTCTAATGTGCTGTTTTGAGGGCGAGTAGTGATACAGGAGGAATAACGACCAGGAGCAGAGCGGGGCTAAAAGAATAAAGTCGTTGCAATCGACAACAAGTCCGATAAGTGATGAATGTTTGATGTTGTTGATTCATCATATCGTAGATCTACTGATGTTCTGCAAGCTTTTACAGCAGCTGCCAAACCTAAGATTCAGTATATCACATCCTCGATGCATTTCGAAGTGGCAAATGAGGTTAACAGTTTTGAATGTCGAGGAGAGCCAATCCACTCTACTTGTCATGCATTTCAAAATGTCAAATAAACTTGACAGTTTTGAGTGTCTAGGAGAATGCACTGATACACTATCAAATGCAAAACTTGTAACCAAGTTGTAAATTCCAAGCGATTCCTATACTCACACTATACATGCCAACTCTAGCCCGATAGAACCAGTCATTCCTCCATACTATAGCCTGTAATATAGTTACAAGAACCTTGTTTAGAACTTGATGACAGTGTGTTGTCGATGGGATCCCGTCAGGTAAAATGACACAAAGCTTACTAGGACCTAGTTAACTTTGTGTGTTTCGGAAGGGTTCTACTTTTTTTCTTTATATACCTGGTATTTATATGAGGATTTTATGTTTGAGTTATCATTCAAAAATTTTTATTATCAATATCTGAACAAGATATTCTAATGTAGCAACTTGTAATGATGAGATTCTTTGATTATTGATCACGTGAAGTATAAAATTTCATGGAAAATATTTAATCTGACTAGGAATATGTTAAATGATGCATCAAATTGATAAGGCACAAAATATTACAATGCATATATATATATATATATATATATATATATAAACTACGCATAAAAAAACTATGTGTTAAAAATTGAAAATTTTGTTAGGCATTAATTGTATGATTATTGTAATGTATAAATTTAAAGTTGAAGTATTGAATGATTTTCAAATCAACTAATCTTTTTAAAATTGATTACAAAATGATGCAATAACCATGAAATTTCATAAAGATTTAAAATTTTTTAAAAAGAATTTAAAAATTATATGTAGATTGTTACATGTTTTTAAATAGTCATAAATATATATATGCTGAATAATTTTGATGATATAAAATCTGCAAAAAATATGAAATCACCAACCCCATATTCTAATATTCAATCATAGATATGAAGTTTTAAAAAAAATTGAAAATAAATTTTTACATTCAAAAATAGAGATAAAATTTTGTTGTCAGGAATGGTATCTTTCGATTCTGTTGAGAAATCGATTACTTTTACAAATGAAAAGACATTGTTTACTAATTTTTTATTTATGTGATTACTCAACTTATTGGAAAAAATTTAAATTTTTTTACATTAATGCAGCAACATATAAAAGAGTAATATATAAATTTTTTTCTTTATACGTTTCTTTGAGTTGTAATTATTATTTATATGTTAATCACAAATTTCATGTAGTGTACTAAAATAGTTTCAAAAGACTATTAAAAATGACATAAGTACTCATACATTTGTATAAAATTCAATTGTCAAGCTCTTTTGAAATAATTTGGATTTATGTATGTTTCCCTTGATGTCAATGATAAACATGTGATTGCATGAGAATTTGGTTCAAATTATGCTTCATATTGAAAATTGATGAATCATTGATTGAGCATATGTATATTGGAATTGAAGAATACGATCCAAGAGATAGCTCACATGAAGACTTAAAACTCAACGTGAGGTATTCTAAGAATCAAAAAAGTTCTATGCTAGACTGTAATTTTGATGCAATCAAATCAAGTAGAGGGTAGAATAGCATGACCATTCAATCACATTGGAGTAAGTATGCTTGTCAATGTGTCCCGATTCTCAAACATGATTTCATAAAATACATTCAAAATTACCAAAAAAAATCCCCTATCTCATAAATGAATTTGTAGCTATACATTTCAACCTTGTATAATGTATAGCTACAAATACAAATAATAATACAAATAATAAAGAACAAAGTATATGCATAGAATTAATATCAAAGACTCAACACAAAATACGTGATTTAAGTCCTTGAGGTTATATTCTGTAACACACAACATCATTTTACTGAATAAATGTCCTGACGAAAATTTATCAGATTTCTTGTATAGTGAAGCCAGTAGCAAGTTAACCAGTTATAGTTTAACAACTTTAAGTTAATAAAAAATTTGAATGAAATCTACCAAGATAGTCAATGATTGATTTATGTTTTGTATATATTGTGACATGCATGCTCATATATAACTATTTTCACATCAGCTGCAAACTCAGAGTGGTCTGTGGGTTTTTCTGATTAGACATGCAGTATATTTTTCACACTTTCTTCACAAAAATATGTTTCAAAAGTAACAAATTAACAAGAAATTAAGTTTGGATAAGATTGTATATTCGCTAATTTCCAAACGTGGAACCATTGTTGACATAGATTAGGGGCATAAATGGCTAGTCTCTTTATCATTGTGTTCTTACTTCTATATTACTGTACCAGTATTGGAGACCGATATCTAACATTCATAAGTACTATTTACATTGAGTATGAGGATGAATGAAAAACAATGCAGTATAATTTATAGCAAAAGTGCTTTACTTGGAGAGAAGCGGATGAATGGAATGAACAAGATTAATGTGGTGGACAAAAATCATTCAAAGAGTGGTAGGCGAAGAAGGAATAGTTTGTGTTCATCAATCATTAGCCATTACGAGGCGAATTAAGCGATTGATCCACAGTATTTAGGTCTGTGTTTAGGCAATCATTAATTGTGTATAGTACAACTGATAGGAGCAAACTGAACCAACATCTCTTCCCAATCATTGAGATCGAACTGCAGTCCACCCGAGATTCTCTTTTGCAGTCGAATCTCATGAATTCAACCTTATGGTGCACTTTATGAAAGGTATCAGAGTCAAAACACCGAATATATATAAGGATATTGTACCAGAGATAAAAATTGAGTATTATAGTCGTCCATGTACGACATCATACGGTCAATACCGGAGAGGACGCGACTAGTTTCTGACTAGCCTCGAAATTTATCAGCTTCCATAAAACCATAGCCGAGCAAAATAACTCGATCGGGGACATACTCTCCTCCGCACTTAAAAACTCATGTTTATAAATCAAAGATTATTTTCATATTCATTTCTTTCAAAGAAAACGAAGATTATCTTCAGCTCAAAGAAGTAACATAATTTTTCACTATTTAATAACGATATTTTCGCTACTTATGCACTCTTCATGTATTTTTTTAAAAAAATCCTCATATTTAAGACGATAATTGTAAATTTGGTCTCGCAAATAACACCAAAGCTCGTATATAGAGCTTCAACGTAGACTGATAAAATAATGAACTGAAATTTACGATACTTTTCTTAAATGT